CCCCGCAACAAAATGGGATTGCTGAGCGCCGCATTGGCATGGTCATGGACGTCGCTCGTACGTCTATGATGGATGCGGCTGCTCCCCATTTTCTGTGGCCGTTTGCGGTGAGGTACGCGGCGCATCAGATCAACCTACACCCAAGGGTCTCCAGGCCGGAGACCTCCCCAGCCTTGCTGTGGACGGGGAAGGTTGGCGATGCGTCGGCGTTCCGGGTCTGGGGATCTCGGGCGTTTGTCCGCGACTTGTCTGCGGACAAGCTGTCCCCTCGTGCTGCTCCTTGCGTCTTCCTGGGGTTCCCCCCTGACGCGCCTGGGTGGCAGTTCTACCACCCCACCTCTCGCCGTGTTCTGTCCTCTCAGGACGTCACCTTTGACGAGTCGGTCCCCTACTACCGCCTCTTCCCCTACCGCACTCCGTCCCTTCCCCCGCCGCCGCTCTTCCTTGTACCAGGTCCCCCTCCGGTAGACCCCCTCCCCCCTCAGGGTCCATCCCCTTCAGGTGTGTCCTAGGTAGACGCAGTCGAGCCTGTCGAGGTCACTGGTGACTCTGGTGTTGCTGAGGGTGCTGAGCCTGGGGGTGCTGACTCTTGGGGTGCTGAGCCTGGGGGTGCTGCGACTGGGGGTGCTAACACTGGGGGTGCTGAGCCTGGGGGTGCTGAGCCTGGGGGTGCTCAGCCTGGGTGTGCTGAGACTAGGGGTGCTGAGCCTGAGGGTGCTGAGTCTGGGGGTGCTGCGCCTTGGGGAACTGAGCCTGGGGGTGCTAAGCCTGGGGGTGCTGAGCCTGGGTGTGCTGAGCGTGGGGGTGCTGAGCTTGGGGGTGCTCCGCCTAGAGGTTCTCCGGGTGCTTCGTCTCGGCGGAAGCCACTCTCTCCACGGGAGCTGCACGAGTGGTTTGCCCGGCGCTGGAGGCGTGCTGCTGGTGCTGGAGGTTCTTTGGCTACTGAGGGTGCTGCTGTCGCGAGTCCTGGAGGTGCTCGTACTGGGAGTACTAGAGCTGCTGGGCCTGCGGGTTCGACTGGAGCTGGTGCTGCTGAGGGTGTTGGAGCTGAGACTACTGCTGGCGGTCCTTCTGCAGGTACTCCTGGTACTGCTGGAGGTTCTGGCGCTGCTGGAGGTGCAGCTGGAGCGGGTGCTCCTACTGGGGTTTTTGATGCTGTACCTACTGTGTCTGGCGTCGCCGCGCGGCCTCGACTGTACTTCGTTCCACTCTTGCAGCAGGTTCTTGGTCTTCCGCCTTCTACTGGTCCTTCTCCTCGTTTAGGGTGTCCACAGCCAGTCACGTCACAGTTACAGTTGCAGCCTACCTCCTCTTTGCCTGCTCCTTCTCCCTACAGTGGTCCTACTGGAGGTCTTACTAAGCGTCGTGAGCCTGCGTCTCGCCCTGCGTCGCCTGTCCGTGCTGCTCGCGCTAGTGGTCGTGGTTCGCGTCAGCGTCCTCCTCCTGTCCCTGACACGCACAGGATGTCTCTGCGTCCGTCCACTGCTCCTCTGCGTGCCCCTTTGCCTTCTCCTCCAGAGTCCTCTCTTCCTGCTTTTGCCGACTCGGAGTCGGACTCTCTTCGTGCTGCCAGTCCTACTGTCACGCGTCTCCTGGCTACTTTCGTCACTGACCCTTCTTTCGAGTCCACTGCTGCGTCTGCCCTAGTTGCTGAGCTCGTCGACTTTGCTGCTCGCTGTCGCCTAGACTACGCTGCTAGTCTTGTCGCTGAGTCTGCGTCTGTCTGTCCTCCGTCCGTCGGGGGTGGGTGTGCCATTCGCACGGACGTCCTTGAGGACAGGCAGGAGGAGTTCCAGTGCTTGGCCGCTGCTTCACCTCATCTCGTGTCCGTACTGCTTACCCCTGAGGGAGACCCAGATGCACTTGACATCCCGACTCCGCGCTCTTACGCGGAGGCGATAGAGGGTCCCTACTCTTCTCAGTGGCAGGCAGCTATGGATGCAGAGATGGCTTCCTGGAAGTCCACAGGCACCTACGTTGACGTTGTCCCCCCTCTTGGGGCGAACATCGTCAGTGGCATGTGGATCTTCAGGGTGAAGCGGCCGCCAGGTTCTCCGCCTACCTTCAAGGCGCGTTACGTGGCTCGTGGCTTCAGTCAGCGGCAGGGAGTTGACTACTTTTAGACCTTCTCTCCCACCCCGAAGATGACCACTCTTCGGGTAGTGCTGCACGTTGCTGCTCACCGTGACTACGAGCTGCACTCTCTCGACTTCAGCACAGCTTTCTTGCAGGGCAGCCTGCACGAGGAGATCTGGCTGCGCCGCCCACCTGGTTTCACTGGGCCTTTCCCTCCTGGTACCCAGTGGAGTCTCCGGCGTCCAGTCTACGGTCTCCGCCAGGCGCCACGTGAGTGGCACGACACACTGAGGACTACGCTTGCGGCTCTTGGGTTTGCTCCTTCTACTGCCGACCCGTCGCTGTTTCTGCGCACCGACACTTCTCTGCCGCCGTTCTACATCCTCGTGTACGTCGACGACTTGGTCTTTGCCACAGCTGACACTGCTGGACTCGCCTACGTGAAGTCCGAGATGCAGAAGAGACACACGTGCACAGACCTGGGTGAACTGCGCAGCTACCTTGGCTTGCAGATCACCCGAGACAGAGCACGCCGCACCATTACCCTGACTCAGTCACACATGGTGCAGCAGGTCCTTCAGCGCTTCGGCTTCACGTACTCCTCGCCTCAGGCCACTCCTCTGCCTACTCGCCACTCACTCTCAGCTCTGCCTTCGGATGAGTCCGTAGAGTCGAGTGGCCCGTATCCAAAGCTTGTTGGCTGCCTCATGTACCTGATGACCTGCACACGACCTGATCTTGCATACCCTCTTAACATTCTCGCACGCTATGTTGCTCCTGGGAGACACCGACCAGAGCACATGGCTGCAGCGAAGAGGGTGTTGCGCTACTTGTGCAGTACGTCGGGCATGGGGCTAGTGCTTGGAGGGCGGAGTCCAGTAGTCCTCACTGGGCACGCGGACGCTTCTTGGGCTGACGACCAGGCTACGCAGCGGTCGTCACAGGGTTACACCTTCAGCCTTGGTTCCGGCTCTGTTTCGTGGCGGGCTACTCGCTCGTCTTCTGTTCTCGGCTCCAGTTGTGAGGCTGAGATCTACGCCGGGGCCATGGCTGCACAGGAGCTTCGCTGGCTTACCTACCTGCTGATCGACCTTGGAGAGTCGCCTCGTTCTCCTCCAGTCCTGTACGTAGACAACAAGGCCATGCTGGCCTTGTGTTGAGAGCAGAGACTGGAGCACAGAACAAAGCACATTGCTCTTCGCTACTTCCTTGCTCGTGAGCTACAGCAGTGTGGTCAGTTGCGGCTTGCGTACGTGGTCTCTGAGGCCAACACTGCTGATGTCTTCACCAAGGCACTTGCGCCTTGTGATCATCAGCGCTTCTGCACGCAGCTGGGTCTTGTGCCTGTCTTGCCTCACTTGCGCACCTCTCGACCTTGCTTGTACTGTTGCATATATATACACCTGCTCTTGCTTGTCTAGTCCTTTATATATATGTACTCCTGCATGTGAACTGGCCTTGTGGCCTTGAACTTGTGCTCAGAATGTGTGGTGACTTTGTGATCCACCCTGAGCTTGTTTTGCTTTGTTTTGCTTGATTGGTCTTGTGACCCCTTGTTCTCCCCCACTTTGCCTATGGGGGTGTGTCAGAACATATAGCTTGTGCTTATTGTGTAGGCTATAGTGGGGTAGTCCATAAGGGGTACAACCCAATTAGGGTTTGTACTCAGTTCATTCATAGTTCATTCATTCTCGTTCTCACTTTCTCAAGACCGAGCCCGAGACCGATCTGATACCATGTCAGAATCCCAACCACTAGAGCATTGGGATAAAAGGGCTTGTTTCAGTAGCGAGTCTTCGCCCATAACCCCTCAATCGGGCATCCACAGTGCAGATCTACTGACACTGTCAACGCGAAGCTGTTGCTACCCGACGATTGGCGCATTCATGACGCCTTCCACGTCAGCCTTCTTCGGAAGTTCGTACCAGCTACGACCGACATCGCACGTCAGCAAACTGCCCCGACAGCACGACCTCTCCCTGAGCCGACCCTTGACCCTTCCAAAATCCTCGCTCATCGGGTCCGCCTTGACGTAGCTGGCCGACACGTGGATTTCTTAATTCGCTGGACTGACCGCACTAGTGAGGACGACACGTGGGTGCCATCCGCCTCGCTCGACGCCTCGCCACTTGTTGGTGATTACCTGGCGCGACGGCGTGTTTCGGATATTGACTGTCTTTTTTAAAGGGGGAGGGGGGGGGGGGGGGGGGGGGGGGGGGGGGGGGGGGGGGTGGTGTAAGGAATTTTCCCGAATTCCTTATCGGGGTTGACTGCTTCGCGTACAACCCGATTTTCGGAGTTCGCACGTTCGGCCGATTTCAACGCTGCCGAGGCTCCTCGCGTCGCCTTTGGCATTCCCATCGCCAAACCTGCACCCAACCTCGCTCGTCCGAGGTTTCCTCCTAGATAGACCAGCCCTACATTAGTCTGTGCACTCATTGTATTCACAGTTGATTCAGTCACAGCCTCGTTATTCGTTTACCTGCGCACTCTCTTTTACAACTCATAACAACATTGCTCTCATTGCGTTGCATTGTAAACTAGAGCAACATTTTGGTTACGGTACAAGGGCCTCTGTAAGAAAAAAAGTTTCACACATCAGTCAGTCTGCCCCAAAGTACCTTTCCTGAGCGTCTCGATTGACCTCTGTCATCCAGTCATCATCCAAGCTCTCGTCCCCATCAATGCGCCCATAGTCTACATCTGCCTCCCTCCCTGCCAGGAACCGTTCTTTCATCGCCTTTTGAAACGTCTCAAAAGAAGTCAGTCCGCCCCGAAATACCTCTCTTCCGCATCCCGATTGACCTCTTTCATCCAGTCATCATCCAAGCTCTCGTCCCCATCAATGCGCCCATAGTCCATATCTGCCTCCCTCCCCGCCAGGAACCGTTCTTTCATCGCCTTTTGAAACGTCTCAAAAGAAGTCAGTCCGCCCCGAAATACCTCTCTTCCGCATCCCTATTGACCTCTGTCATCCAGTCATCATCCAAGCTCTCGTCCCCATCAATGCGCCCATAGTCCACATCTGTCTCCCTCCCTGCCAGAAACTTCTCCTTCATTGCCCATCTCAACTCCTCTAGCGCCCCCTCCCGATCCTCCCCACCCTCCCAAACCTCCTCACCCTCCCAAACCTCCCTACCCTCACGACCCTCCCGATCATCTTGATCCTCCCGAACCTCCTGGCCCTTGGGACCCTCCCCATCCCCCCCTCCAGCTGCCTCTCCTTCAACCTGTCGTCCTTCCTGGCCCTTCTCCTGTGCCCTACCCTGATCTGTTTGTCTACCACCACTGCTTCTCCTTCTCCCAGCCCCATCTTCACCTCCTCGTGCCGCACTCTCCTGCCCTCCACTTCTTCCCGCTTCTCCTCCTCTTTCTCCTCCTGCTGCCCGCCTCTCATCTCCTGCACTCCCATTGTCCCTTCCTGCAGCACCCCCTGCTCTGGCACCCCCTGCTGCAGCAACCCCTGCTCTGGCACCCCCTGCTGCAGCAACCCCTGCTGTTACAGCCCTTGCTGCTGCCACGTCTCTCACAGCACCAGCTCCTACACCTTCCTCTGAAACCAACCTCCCTGCTTCCTCCTGCACTCTCCCTTGTGCTGCAGCCACAGTGCTCCTTCTTCCTCCTCCCTCCTCCTCCTCCCCTTTCTCCCCTCCCTTCCCTTCCTCCCCCTGCCCTTCACACTCCATCTGCATGTGCCCCCAGTGTTCATCCCTGCGGCCATTCATATCCATCCCTCCTTCCTCTTCCTCTTCCTCGTCATCCTCTTCCTCCTCTCCCTCCTCCTCCTCCTCTTCCTCCTCGTCTTCCTCCTCCTCTTCCTCCTCCATCATTCTTCCACGCCCGCCCCTCCCTCTCACTCCTCCCTCACGTGCCCTCCGTCCTCGCACCAGAGCCTGCTGTATCGCCACCTCATCCGTCTGCCTCAGCAGCATCTCCCACAGTCGCTCCCCCGGTCGCGCCACAAACATGCCCTCTGCAGCCCCACCCACCCCCCTTGCCGCTGCCACCGCCACTCCCGCTCTTTCTCCTCCTCCTGCTCCCCCTCCTTCCCCCCCTCCTCTCTCTCCGTCTTCCTCCCCCCCTTCGCCTCTTCCTGCTTGTGCCACCACTGCTGCGCCGGGTGCTCTGTCAAAACCTCCAAGGTAGTCCTGGTGGAGCAGTGGGTCTCTCTCCCTCATTGCTTCCTCGCTGAAAAACACGCCCTCCTGCTCTCGTGGGTTTGTGTTGTGGGGGAGGAGAGCATGGCCGTAAGCACGTGGTGGTGTGGGCACTGCTTCATGTGTCATGCATAATGCGTCATGTAACTTGTATCATGCGTCGTCATGCATCATGCATCATGCACCATGCACCATGAATCACGCATCACGCATGGAGCATCACGTGTCATGCACACAGCACTGTACCTGTTCCAGACGAGTCATGAACGCCAGGCGACGGTTCTTCACCACAGCAGCAGCCGACGGGTGCGACGATGACGGGTGGTTGGCGGGACGCAGCTGGGTGGGGAGGGGCGGGGGAGGGGAAAGAGGAGGGGGGGGAAGGAGGAGGGGGGGGAGAGGAGTGGGGACGGGAGACGAGGGGAGACGGGGACGGGGGGATTCGGGGGAGTGGGTGGGAGAAGGCGGGGGTGGGAGAAGAAGGGAAGGAACTGATGATGCAGGGACAGAGGGAGAAGGTGGCAATCCAGGCCGCATGAATGGAGGTTATGCAATATAGTGCCTGTGGAATGTGACACGTGGCATGTGGGGAGTGACAAAGCCAACCACAAAAAGCCTACTGACTACTGACGACACACACTCACTCGTCGCATGTGCCATGCGATCTCATAGTCCCCCGCCATGCCATCGAACGCCCGCAGCTCCTCCTCCCGCAGCAACCCTCCGTACCGCTCTGCACACCACCCCGGAAAAACCCCACACGCGCGCAAGCCGACAAAGGGGAACGGGAGGGCGGATGGAAAAGCGGTCCGCGGGTCAGCAACCCGAAACGTTCAATGAAAGGTTTGGGACGATTTTTGAGTCAACAGGCACGCGCCTTCCTTTCGTTACGACACCGCAAGCGGCCTCGGGTGCAGCAACGAACGGGCGCGACCGGCGGCGGGAGAAGGCCGAAACGAGACGGATGACAGGGGTCGAATAATGGGAGGGAGTGATGAAAACTACTAGAGCCACGAGACCGACTGACTGACTGACTGAGGTACCTAGGAAAACCGCCGGGTCGCGCTGTAGCAACGAGGCGAGGTGGTCCTTCTTCTCCCCGCAAGTCACGGGGTCGCCACGACTCTCCATCGCATGCGGCAGTCGCAGGTCCGTTACAAGCGACAGGCGCTCGCTTAATCGCTCCACCTCCGCTGCCGGAACTCCCCGCGCGCCTGTCCCCGCTGCTGACCCCGCCCCCGTGGCATCTCTCCCCATGGGTGCAGAAAGAGTGTCGCGCGGGTAGAAAATGACCCAGGAAGAAGAAAGGGATGGTGCAGAAGGCTGGTATGGAAGGGCGCGAGGAGACTAGGAGCTTGCGTGACTAAGACGGGATTCGTGGCAAGGAAATCTGTTTGGACAAATTCTCTCACCATCTCCACAGCAGCACCGTTTTGCGTTTGTGAAAATATATGTTATAAAGTATATTGTTATTCATTGTACACAATGTCGTTTTGATACTTTATCAGGAAGCTCTATCTTCAGCACTTACTGTTTTTCAACCGTAGCTTGTAGCCCATCAAGTTTGGCAGCTGCGAACATCAATTACCAGCTAAACTCTCCATACTGAGTTTGTGAGTCAGTTTGTAAGAAGGTTCTGTTTCTGGTCCCGCTAAACCGTTGCAGGCTCCTCGGGACAAAAACACCACAGCCACCCATCACTCCTGTTTTGGTTGGTTCTCGTCGAGCCGCACCATTTTCGCGCGAATTTCACTCGCGCAACAAATTTTTGGAATTCGGGGATTGGGAAGACGTCTCATTGCTCCCAGTGAGGGAAGCGGCTCCCACAAACATCACACTTGGAAATGCTGCCGTGAGGGGGAAGAACAACAGCAATCTTCTTTCCAGCCTGCGAAACGCAGCCTTGCATGACAATTCCTCACCACACCAGAGTAGATGTGCGTTATCTGATGGATCCCCTCCAAGCATCATCGCATCGCCTGAAATCCGCTCGGGTGTATCATTGACAGTTAGTGTTGAAGCGCGATGCCTTCCGCAATCGCAGCTCGTGCAGTCAGCCTCGCGTGGAGGGCTATAGGCGCAAGCCATTAGGGTTGCCAAGTTTGAGTTGTAAATTGTTATGCCCGGTCTTCTCGCCAGCTGTCCATTCCTTCCTGCTTTCCGTCTGTAGTATATTCAAAGCATCAGCTCCCTTCCATGGTCGTGCGCGGCCAAACGGTTTTCTGGTTTCAGCAAGCAACAATCTCGACTGCCACTACCGTGAAATAAGCCTCCAAAGCCTGATAACTCTTGCCCTAAATCTACAAAACGAGCAGAATAACAGTCGCCGAGGATAGAATGGCGGCCGCGACGGACGGCCCTTATGGGACGGCGCGAACAGCGCAACTATCTTCGAATCCTCATTCCCCTCCCTCACCAGCCATTCCCGTGAGCCACCTTTCTCCAGTAATACCCATGCAATCGAGACTTCCCGATCATTCCCCCTCCCCCGTACGCACCTCCGTCTCCTCCATCTCCCTCTTCTCTTCCTCCTCCCTCCCCCCTTTCTCCCCCTGCCCAACTCCCCCTCCCGTCCTCCCTGCGAAAAAAACCCCCTCCGACGGCGGAAAGACTCAGGACGACCGGAAACTCTGCGCGTGCAAGCCGCCATTGACCCTATCCCAGGGCCTCAACATACCTTGGATCGGTCCTGTGCGGTGGCTAGACCCGCTCCGATGGCTCCTCGCGGCCGTGAAGAACCCTCTGAACGTCGTCACGCTAGTCATGGTCGGGTGCATGGCGGTCGTTATCTCGCTTAACTTCTCCGCCATGGCGCACATCGCGCTGGCCATGGGCGTGTTGGACAGCGAGTGGGAGGAGAAGCTATGGCAGGAGTTTTGCAACCAGATTCTCAACGCGGTCGGCACGCTCGGTTGCCTCGTCGTGCACCCGCTGCGATGCTACTACCTCGTGCGACTCTGGCGGTGGAGTCGCGAAGACGTCGCCAGCCTTCGTGCGGTGCTCTCGGCGGCGGGACCGTTCGTCGAGAAGCCCGACGAGCGGTGGCATCTGGGCGTCGTGCTAATACTCCTGCAGCTCAACTGCTTCGGTCAATACGCCATCGCGCTTTTCATGTGGTTCGTTTCGGAACCCGATCGGCCTTTCGTTCTCCTCGGGTTCATCGTGATAATCGCGCTCGGGTCTCTTATCGCGGCTGGGATTTATTGCTCCTGGAGCCCTCTCGGCTGGCCTACCGCGTCTAAGCCTGAGAAGAAGACACAGAATCGCGGGAAATCCGGTGGTCGTGTCGTTCCCGTGACGAGCGCCGAGGAAGACGGTGGTACAGCTGCTGGCGCTGCGGAGGAAGGGGGGGATCTGTGCGGAAAGTGCGGGGGCGTGCTGTGCGACAGCGCCGCGGACGACGACGACGACGATGTTGATCGGGTCGCACAGAAGCAAGGGCTGTACGTGCGACTGGACGACGCGAGCGCGGCAGGAAAGCAGAAACCGCACGAGTGGAAAACGCCCACGTGGCAGCCGATGGGGGAGCTGGCGCGGCCGCAATGGCAAGGCTCGGCGCTAGACTGCTGCGCGGATGGCGTAGGCTCGGCGGTCTGGACCACGCTCTGCTGCTTCTGCGTGCACGGGCGACACGTGGAGCGAGCTGGGTTCGGCAACAGGATCGTCCACACTGCCATGTTCTTATTTTTCGTCTTCGGACCTATCCTGATCTTTACTCTCGGCTCGCGGCCCATCGCTAGTGTACCCATGCAGTGGATCGTATTTGGGTTGGGGATTCTTGTAACGTTTGGCGGGGTGACTTATGGCGGGTACTGGCGGTGGAAGTTGCGGCGGACGTTTCTGTTGCCGGAGGAGGAGTGGTGCTGCGGGCACAAGGCGGCGACGGACTTTGCGTCGTGGTACGTGCTGCCTTGCTGCTCGTTGTGCCAGGAGGTGCGCACCGTGCGGCACTACAACCTCCACATGCTCCCACACCTGCCTGATGAGACCCCGGGCGAGGCGCAAAGGGCGGGACAGGGGAAGGAGATTACTGTGCTGACTATGGCTCCCGCTTCTATTTGCATTGAGGCCTGCGAGATTGGCGTGAGAAGGTGCGGGTAGGGTATGCATACGGGTGTGTGAGTCCTCCTGGAATTGATGCCTTGTGAGGATTTTTCCTGCAATGTACTATCTGATTTGACTATATAAAATTATTATTGCCAATGCAAATTACATGTTCATGCGCTCTGAAAACTGAGGCTTGCTAATAGTTGCTAGCTGGCATGCTAATGGTGGGAACTTCTGGGTCATCTTGAATTGAATAATAATCTGAACATTAGCGGAAACACAAAAGGACAGATTACCGTAATGGGAAATATCATTAGGGGCTAGTAGGATGGGGGTGGGGTGGGGGGAACGAGGGGAAGGATATGGTTCCTCTGCTCAAAAACACTAAGGCTATGCTATGGTTCCTCTGCATACAAGAGCGGCCACTGACGTGGATAGGAGAAAACCAGCACCCTGGGCCCTGCACTTTAGAACCCAAGGCTTGTAGAAGAACGCTCAAACTCAAATCAGAATTAACGCTCCAGCGGGCGGTTCAGCATCCATATTAGAGAGGTCGGATTCTCCCAACCTCGACAAGCAGGCACCGTGTGTGTCAGCGCAGCTCAAACTCAATGCTGGTGGTGGTGGTGGTGGCGGTGGTGGTGGGGGGTGAAAAAGTGGGTGGATGGCGGTAGCAGTTGTAATGGTGATGATAATGCGGCTGCTGCTGCGTTGCTGCTGCTGTTCCTGTTCAACCTAACTGGCTACACACCTCTCTCCGAGTCCCCCAGTGCCCTACACGCCTACTTGCCTCCATCCGCCATTCCCAACGGGCATCACCATTCAAAACGCCTCAGAACCCCTGTCTACAGTCACGTCACTCCGCCATGGCTACAGTCATCGGAGTGACCTCCATACACAGCGTCCCAGGCGCGCCCATCACCGTCACAGCGCCGCCCTCCCCGCTGCTCCCCTCCTTGCCCGGCCCTTCGGGAATCTCCAGTCTTAGGTTATACCGCCGAACGGTACGCACCTCTTGGCACAGCGAGCAGCACGGCAGCAGGTACCACGACGCAAAGTCCGTCGCCGCCTCGTGCCCGCAGCACCAGTCGCTCGCGGGCAGGTGGAAGTTTCGCCGCAGGTACCACCGCCAGTAGCCCGCGTAAGTCAGGCCTAGAATCGTGCAAATCACCCCGAGCGCGAACACGAAATTCTGCATGTAACCGGGGGGGAGGATGGCGGAAGCCGGCCCGAACATAGCCATGGGTCCGACGAGGAAGAGGACAAACATGGCGGTGTGGACGATTTTGTTGCCGAACCCGGCGCGCTCAGCGTTCCACCCGTGCACGCAGAAGCAGCAGAACGTAGCTGCTACAGCCGTCCACCCGTCCGACCAGCAGTCCAGGAGCCCGCCCTGCCACTGCGGCCGCGTGGCGCCTCCCACCGGCTGCCACGTGGCGCGACGCCATTCGTTCAGGTCGTCCGCGTCCTTGCCCTTGCCGCCCTTGCCGCTCTTCCCGTCAATCGCGCCGCAACCCGTGGAGCTCTCCTTGCCACCCCCGCAAACCTCGCACCGCCGCGACAACAACCCCTCGCCCTCCCGACCCGCCTCCTCGTCCCACTCGCCGCATTCCCCGGTCGCAGAGACGCGCCGACCCGCGGGTTGCGGCTTGGCTCCTGTAGGCCACCCCAGGGGGCTCCAGAGGCAGTAAAGCCCGGCAAAGATAACGGAACCAAGCGCGAAAAGCGCGAGGCAGCCGAGAAGCACCATGGGGCGGGAAACCATGTCGGTTGTCCACATGAAATAGGCGATCGCGTATTGAAACACGCAGTTAACTTGCAGTAAGAAGATGACGAACGCGATGTGCTGCCACTCCTTGGGCTTTCGCACGAACGGGCCGGCTTTCGACAGCATCGCGCGGAGACTCGCCGCGTCTTGCGGGCTCCAGCGGAAAACCTGGAGCACGTAGTAGCACCGCAACGGATGGACTAGAAGACTTCCGAGCGTGCCGATCGCGCAGAGAACCTGATTAGACAGCTCGAACCATAACTCTGCTTGCGGTTGCGTGAGGATCCCGAGGAGGAGCGGAATCTGGGAGATTATCGCGCAGTTGATTCCGACCATGGAGCCCGCGAGGGTTACGGTGAAGAGGGTCATAACGTTAAGCGGGTCGCGCACGAATTCCCTCAGGAATCGCGGCGGGTCGGACCATCGGACCGGGCCGAGGAACGGCAGGTTGAGGCCTTCGGATAGGGAGAGCTTTTGCGCGGATGGGCGCGCTTCTGGTGCGGACGACGCGGTGTTAGCGGCGGTGGCGCTGCAGCAGCAGCGGAAGGCGGATGAGTCGTCGGTTTGCGCGCGGAGCTTTGCGAGCGATGCTGAAGGGGAGCGGGGAGAGAGGTGGGGGATGGAGGAGGAGGACGATGAGAGGGAGAGGGACTCGGAGGAGGAGGGGCTTTGCGCGTCGGAGGAGAGGATGGTGCGTACGGGAATGGGTCGAGTGATAGTAGGCATGGGGATAGACATGCCTGTGGATGAATGCGGCGCCATGACAGGCTTTTTGAGGGCTTCGGGCCGGAGTTAAGAAGAGGTTGCTGATGCTTCGCGATGGTTTATCTTGCTTCGGGATTTGGCACTCGGGCCTCGGATGAGAAGCTAAAGAAGAGTATATGAGGGGCTATTGTGATACGATAAATGGCTTCTGGGAGGATTTTCTTTTGAAAGAGCTGAACTTGCCGTGGCAATGTCGGCTAACCTGGTGCTGTATCAGACCACCAAGTACAAATCGGAGTTTGTGTTCTGCTGAGCTTTGAACCACGACGCCTGACTCAAAACTGAAGAGAGGTGCGTTGGGAGGGAATGATGATCGAAAGGCGGAGAGAAAGGTTGCTTTTGTGTGGTTGCCGCCAGGCCTATGCATTGCTTGCTTCTTTCTCTCCCCCCTTCTCAAATCGAACCTTCGCTCGTAGGCGCGCCCACTTACTGCGGAATCTCCCCCTCCCCTATCTCCAGCTCCACCGTCCCCCGCACCCGCCTCGTGCAGCTAGGTTAGGTCATTTGTGTCAATCATGAGACTTGTATGTGCAGCCGAGGCGCGCGGTGATGGCTCGGAGTCGGAACAGCCGTTGGATGGATGTCGCTCAGTGAGTACTGTATTGTTGTGGGAAAGAAAGGGGCGGGAGAATACATTGGAGGACCGAGGTGATGGGGGAGGAAGAATTGCGTTGCGGCGGGGGGAATGATGAGGGGTGAAAGGGGGAAGCTGCGGTGGGAAGGGGGGAGAAACGGGTGGTGGAGGGGTCTGGGCGAGGCGGGCGAACCTTGCGAAAACCATGAGGGAAGCGCCAGCGACCGATGATGTCGGGACGTGACCGCCCGCGGACCGCGTTGCCGGAGCTCGTATTTTGTCTCGTCTCTCCTCCGTCCATCTGTCCCTTCGAATTGAAACACCCACCGTCCCTGCCGCGAACCTGCCTAGCTGGGAACCACCGCCAACCTACGTCGTGCAGGCTTGGCGATATGGAATTCGCACGTTGAGAGACTCGAGAGTGAATTACCACGTTACGTCTACTCTAAGGAAATTCCCTTTTCCTTACTTCGCATCCCTGCTCAACGCGTACATCACTGTAGCACCTCAGTCAGCACCGTTACCACTCACGACCATCGCATCATTCATCATCCCGCCATTTTCGCACATCGCATCCCGACCTCACGGCTCGGCTGGTAACCCGCGCTCCGGGCCTACGCTTCGACGCTTTCCCAACCTCAGTCCCAGGCTCGTCGCGCGACCATTACCGTTACCACTGTAGTTTTCGCTATATATTCTTCGCTCATGCCTTCGCTCATTGGACTCTTGCTTCGATAGTGCAATTCTCGTTCGTTCACTCAATTGCACTCGTAACACTTGGTATTCAGAGCCTACGATCCCATCTCGGACCGCATCCACACCTTCGCTTCCCCACTATCTCAATTTTTGGGGGGGGGTAGACGTCTCTCAGCGATACAGCACCGCCGCTCGTAGTGCTCTCTCGCAAGCACGCACGGCCACGACCGAGGCTCTCGCTGAGCTTGCCCGACACCCCCGCCATGGCCGATTTCACGCTCGCCACATTGACGCAGGAGCAACTTGATCGTCTCGTGCGTCAACTGGAGGATTCGGCGCTTGAAATCGCGACCCTCACGGCGGAACGTGACTCCGCCCGTCAACAATCCACGGTGAACATACCGACGACATCCCACGCACCAACAAACGCATCTGCACATTCGGATGAGCCGATCATCATCTCGTCCGGCACACCAACACAACACGACAGCACGGGACAACGCTCAGGCGCAGCCAGTGAGGGCGCCGCACAGCCGATGCCTGGCATGGGAGGAAACAGGATCGCACCAAGCCCACGGGAGCCTCGAAAAGTCCGTCGGCACGTGGAATTTGCGGCGACAAGTGGCGAACAATCCAACATGGCACCAATGCCGCTCAAGCCGCAACGCCCGCCCTGCTTCGACCCAAGTCAACGCGGCGGTCCGACAGTTCAATCATGGGTCTTCACGATAAACGTTTTCTTCGACGCCAATTACGTCGAGTCGGACGCCGCAAAGATCCGGTATGCGGTTTCACTGCTAAGGGGCCCCGCCATCGACTGGTGGCGAGTCATCGTGACGTCGCCACGCGCCTACGAGCCACTGTCGCACGAGGAAGGGCCCTCGGGTCCAGCTGTCACCTGAAGCTCGTTCTGCGAGACCGCCCAATACAGCACGTGGGATGCGTGGTGCGCAGGGCTTCGGGCGCGCTTTGAGCCGATCGCGGCTTCAATTTCGGCGCGTCAGAAACTGCGCACTTGGCGCCAGCTCGGGTCAGTTCAAGACTATACCAGCGGTTTTCTCGCACTTTGCGAGCAGGTCGGCTACATGCACGAAGCGGAGCGGGTGGGCCGTTACTGTGAAACTATGAGCAGAGGAATGAATTGACTAAGTCAGAGTTGGGTACAAATACAACCCTAGCAAACTGTACCCCATATGTGCTACCCCACTATAGCCTACAAACATGCATCAGCTATAATAATCTGACACACCCCCATAGGCAAAGTGGGGGAGAACAAGGGGTCACAAGACCAGTCAAGCAAAGCAAAACAAGCTCAGGGTGGATCACAAAGTCACCACACAGTCCGAGCACAAGAGCAAGGCCAGAGGCCAGTTCACATGCAGGAGTAAAGACATATATATAAAACTAGACAAGCAAGAGCAGGTATATATATGTCAAAGTACAAGTAAAGTCAAGAAGAGAGCAAGTGAGGCAAGACAGGTACAAGTCCCAGCTGGGTACAAAAGCGCTGATGGTCGCAAGGCGCAAGTGCCTTGGTGAACACATCAGCAGTGTTGGCCTCAGAGGCCACGTAAGCAAGTCGCAACTGACCACGCTGCTGCAGCTCACGAGCAAGGAAGTAGCGGAGAGCAATGTGCTTCGTTCTGTGCTCCAAGCGCTGCTCTCGACACAAGGCCAACATGGCCTTGTTGTCTACGTACAGCACTGGAGGAGAACGAGGCAGCTCTCCAAGGTCAGTCAGCAGGTAGGTGAGCCAGCGAAGCTCCTGTGCAGCCATGGCCCCGGCGTAGATCTCAGCCTCACAACTGGAGCCGAGAACCGAAGACGAGCGAGTAGACCGCCACGAGACAGAGCCGGAACCAAGGCTGAAGGTGTAACCCTGTGACGACCGCTGCGTAGCCTGGTCGTCAGCCCAAGAAGCGTCTGCGTGCCCAGTAAGGACCACTGGACTCCGCCCTCCAAGCACTAGCCCCATGCCCGACGTACTGCACAGGTAGCGCAATACCCTCTTCGCTGCAGCCATGTGCTCTGGTCGGTGTCTCCCAGGAGCAACATAGCGTGCAAGGATGCTCAGAGGGTATGCAAGGTCAGGTCGAGTGCAGGTCATCAGGTACATGAGGCAGCCAACAAGCTCTGCATACGGACCACTCGACTCTACGGACTCATCCGAAGGCAGAGCTGAGAGTGAGTGGCGAGTAGGCAGAGGAGTGGCCTGAGGCGAGGAGTACGTGAAGCCGAAGCGCTGAAGGACCTGCTGCACCATGTGTGACTGAGTCAGGGTAATGGTGCGGCGTGCTCTGTCCCGAGTGATCTGCAAGCCAAGGTAGCTGCGCAGTTCACCCAGGTCTGTGCACGTGTGTCTCTTCAGCAGCTCGGACTTCACGTAGGCGAGTCCAGCAGTGTCCGCTGTGGCAAAGACCAAGTCGTCGACGTACACGAGGATGTAGAACGGCGGCAGGGAAGTGTCGGTGCGAAGAAACAGCGACGGGTCAGCAGTAGAAGGAGCAAACCCAAGAGCCGCAAGCGTAGTCCTCAGTGTGTCGTGCCACTCACGCGGTGCCTGGCGGAGACCGTAGACTGGCCGTCGGAGGCTCCACTGGGTGCCAGGAGGGAAAGTCCCAGTGAAGCCAGGCGGACGGCGCAGCCAGATCTCCTCGTGCAGGCTACCCTGCAGGAACGCAGTGCTGAAGTCGAGAGAGTGAAGCTCGTAGTCGCGCTGAGCGGCAATGTGCAGCAGCACCCGAAGAGTGGTCATCTTCGGGGTGGGAGAGAAGGTCTGAAAGTAGTCAACTCCCTGCCGCTGACTGAAGCCACGAGCCACGTAACGCGCCTTGAAGACAGGCGGCGAGCCCGGCGGCCGCTTCACCCTGAAGATCCACATGCCACTGACGATGTTCGCCCCAGGAGGGGGAACCGCGTCAACGTAGGTGCCTGTGGACTTCCAGGAAGCCATCTCTGCATCCATAGCTGCCTGCCACTGAGAGGAGTAGGGACCCTCTACGGCCTCCGCGTAAGAACGCGGAGTCGGGATGTCTAGTGCATCCGGGTCTCCCTCAGGGGCTAGCAGTACAGACGCGAGACGAGGTGAAGCAGCGGCTAGACACTGGAACTCCTCCTGCCTGTCCTCTAGGACGTCCGTGCCAAGGGCACACTCACCCCCGACGGACGGAGGACAGGCGGACTCAGACTCAGCGACAAGACGAGCAGCGTAGTCTAGACGACAGCGCGCAGCAAAGTCGACAAGCTCAGTGACAAGGGCAGACGCAGCAGACGACTCGAAGGAAGGGTCAGTGACAGCAGTAGCAAGGAGACGCGTGACAGTAGGACTGGCAGCACGAAGAGAGTCCGACTCCGGGTCGGCAAGAGCAGGAAGAGAGGAAGCAGGAGGAGAAGGCAAAGGGGCACGCAGAGGAGCAGTGGACGGACGCAGTGACATCCGGTGCGTGCCAGGGACAGGAGGAGGACGCTGACGCGACCCGCGACCACTAGCGCGCTCAGTACGAACAGGCGACGCAGGACGAGACGCAGGCTCACGACGCTCAGTAAGACCTCCAGTCGGACCAGCGTAGGGAGAAGGAGCAGGCAAAGGGGAGGCAGGCTGTAGCTGTGGCTGTGACCGGACAGGCTGCGGACCCTCTAAGGAAGGAGGAGGAGGTGTAAGACCAAGAATCTGCTGCAGGAGCGGAACGAAGTACGGTCGAGGCCGCGCGGCGATGCCAGAAAGAGCAGGAACAGCACCAGCACCCCCGGCAGGAGCACTCACTCCAGCAGCACCTCCAGCAGAACCACCAGAAGCTCCAGACCCTCCAGCAGCAGCACCAGGAGCACCGTCAGTCGGACCACCAACCGCAGGCTCAGCGCCAACGTCCTCAGCAGGACCAGCTCCAGGAGAACACTCAGACCCAGCAGCTCCAGCACCCACAGGACGAGCACCGCCAGGTCGCGTGGCAGCAGCGCCCTCCGCAGCCGAAGAACCACCAGCACCAGCGGCACGCCTCCAGCGCCGGGCAAACCACTCACGCAGCTCCTGTGGAGAGAGCGGCTCCCGGTGAGACGAAGCACCCCCAGGCACAGCACCTCCAGGCTCGGCACCTCCCGGCTCAGCACCCCCAGGCTCAGTACCCCCAGACACAGCACCCCCAGGCACAGCACCCCCAGGCTCAGCACCCCCAGGCTCAGCACCCCCAGGCCCAGCACCCCCAGACTCCGCACCCCCAGGCTCAGCACCCCTAGACTCCGCACCCCCAGGCTCAGCTCCCGCAGCAGCACCGGAGTCACCAGTGACCTCGACAGGCTCGACCGCGTCTACCTGAGACACACCTGAAGGGGCAGGACCCTGAGGGGGGAGGGGGACTACTGGGGGGGGACCTGGAACCAAGAAGAGGGGGGGTGGGGGGAGGGACGGAGTGCGGTAGGGGAAGAGGCGGTAGTAGGGTACCGACTCGTCGAACGTGACGTCCTGGGAGGACAGAACACGTCGAGAGGTGGGGTGGTAAAACTGCCACCCAGGGGCGTCGGGGGGGAACCCGAGGAAGACGCAGGGAGAAGCACGAGGGGACAGCTTGTCCGCAGACAGGTCGCGAACAAACGCCCGAGATCCCCAGA